ATCAAGTCCAAAGGAGCTTTAAATAATCACAGAATTAACCTTCCTACTGCTTCCTTACCCCTCAACCTGTTCAACAATCAGGTTGGAGCCATTAGCCTGTTTTCCACTGCAGGAACTTGTGGGCCATTTTAGGGCAACTCAAACCTTTGTGTAGTTTCCAGCGTCATAACTCGCCCCTGTACGAACTCTTTCGGGGCTGCTATGGGGTTGAAAAATGTACCTGCTCCTGAAAACTGCCGGCAGGTCTTGACTCTGGTTAAACTCGAGCGCCATTTTTCTGCCTTCTTGCTTTGTTCTCATCGAGCAGCAGTGGTTCCTCTCTAGCATTAACACCTTTAACATATCTTCACCATATAGGCTAACACGGCAAAGCTCCATTGTTCTATTTCCTACATGTTCATAGACGTGGCGTATCGTCCAGGAACTACTATTTGTCATTTTAATGCATTCGGAGTGTGCACCACAGCCAAAACTTTTGGACTACGGGGTTGTTTCTGCAGACGTTGCAGCCACCTGGTGCCTGACCTAAATTCCTGCAGTCTAAAAAAACAGTTTTGGTGATGGAGAAGTTACTTTAAACTTACCTTTTACTATATACTTAGTATATTCCTATATTCGTCATGGTATTAATCATTTACAATATTAGATATACAATAGATGGTGTTGTATGCTGTAATGATTAAAGCAAATACTTAATTTTGGACTAAACTGATTTGAGAAAAAGGACATTTTGGTGAGTTTGCTGCCATAGAAATCTGACCAGGACACAATCCAAATTTGACAAAGTTTTCTTTACCCCACAAACAAAATCAGTGTTTCCTCGTGGATCCACTGTTGTAGCCTAAGAAGCAGTCATCCAATAAATCCTAACATTTGATATAAACAAGGTGGGAGAACTATTAGAAACACCACAGGATAATTTATTGTAACACTGAACAAAATAGCCATCATGAAGGCAGGATTTAATGCAGGATTGTTGTCTTAGACCGCGGAGCTTCCAGGTGCATCTAACAAACTTTTTGGACATCCTGGACATGCACTTAGAACAATGATGTTGCCCATCACTCATTGGCTTTGGAGACTTTTAAAAACAAACTAGAAATAATAATGGTTTAGTTTATTTCCCTCCACTGACATTTCAGATCAACGGCAACTTTGTGGTACAAGTTAGAAAGTTAGAATCAGACGCTTGCCTACACATCATTATCCGTGTGACGGAGGAGGAGGGAATACGCCGGGTCCCTTCTCTTATGTTACGGCCTCCAAGCAGAGGATTGGCTCTTAGTGCTGAAACTTTCAAAAGGTGATTGATGACTTTAATTAAATGTTGGGACCCTACTGGGAGCTGACAGAGTGCTAGACTGCCCTCTGTTGGGCCCGGACGACTCTGGCGCCGACCCAAACACCCTGGTGGCTGATTACCTTCAGTGACTCTGCCAGACAGGGTCTCCTCCGGTCAGTTCAAATAATCACGTCCACACTCTAATCTGCAATTAGAGGCGGCAATAACAATAATAACACATCTCTGTCCTTGAAGTCAGAGCTATTAAGATGCGTTTAAAACCAAAAGTCAGTCGAACTGTGCTAAATGCATCGGTACATATCATTATGGACGCATAATGCTATGATAAATCCCGACCTCTTACCTAAAACCACAAAAAAAGGTGACAGCTCTATGACTTTTATTAAACACTGGTTGGCTTTTATACAGCGCAGGGACTTTATCGCCAAACACAAGCCTCAGATTTGCTGCTGCGGCGGACAAAAAGAGATAAAGCTCCTCTGGAACCAGCAACAAATGGCACCAGACTGGTGCTATCGCAGGGAGTTACTGCTATGATTTACTCTGCTGCTTGTTACACACCAAGGCCTCTGTCAGCACAGGTTAGGACAGACTAGCTGATGTAAGTAATGTTCTCTGACCCAGTTCAAACATCCAAAGTAATTTAGCCTCTGATAGGGCAGCTTTATTAAAGGTCCACTTGTTTTGGATTAGCGAGTGTAGCTTTATGCAACCGAGTTAAACCGCCGTATATCAGCAGCGCTTTTAAATTCAGTGGAAGAAACTGCGTCTAAATCATTTGGGTATAGGTACGGGTGTGACTCTTATATTCCATTGTGTTATGAAGGTAAGGACTTCACCTGCATTGTTAATAATTTATTCCTAACCACCACACACTGACACAAAAATAGAACCACTAAATAAACCAACACTGCTAGTCCATGCGCTCCAGAACAACACACAGTTTTCCAAGAAACTCGGTGCCGTCTTTATCTGATGACTCCGTTAGCGAGACGTCTTTTTGCTTATGCACCACAAACCTGTTACAAATCACTAGCCATGTTCCCGCATTACCGTGAAGCGAATCTGAAGCAAATGAAATGTGAGTCGGGCTTGTAAGGCTTACGGTTTGTTTAACTGCTCACAAGCAAAAAGGCTAGTTTGTGTTGTGTTGTCAGAAAATGGTGATTCATGCTATGTTAGAAAAAAAAAAAGGGCAGATGAAGTAAAAGTCCCAAACTGGAAAGAAAACCAGTTGGTCACCTTGGTTATATATGACAGAAAAATGAGGAATTTTGGTCACCAGGGAAAGTTGTAATTATTAATTCATATGTCAGCTTAAAAAAGGATAAAACTTTACAATTTCCTTTGAGATATTGTTGAATTATTGCTGCTAAAACCCTGCTAAATATACACTAATCTCCTTGGAGCTACTCTTCTCTGGAGTTTCAGTGCCTCACAAAGAAAAAAAAACAGAGAAAGTGTGAGTAAGCTCGTTTTGTTTTTCTCACGGTGTCCTTTCAGAGACAGCTGATCAATTACAGAAGATAAATGTTCACGAGGTCAGAACTTATTGGGAAAAGGTGTTTCCATCTACAATGAAGCTCACTAACTATTTTTCAAAAAGGTCCAAAACCACCTAAAAAAAATGTAGAAACTTTTTGTTGGTAAAATTGCCAATATTCTTTTTTTCATGGTTACTGTCATGATGTGACAACGCAATGATTCTGGTTAAGTTTAGGCACAACAACTACCTGATTAGGTTTGGAGAAACATTAGTCTCAGGGGAACTGCGTCACTAAGACTACAACAATAACTTAGTTTTGGGAACAATCGTAAAGTCGGCTGGTTTGATGTTTTGATGTTGACCCATCCATCCACCCTGACCTACTCCCTGCATGACTGTGTTGCGCTATAACATCATCAATCAACTTTCTGTCTTGCTCTCATCATAATTACTGGTGCCATTAGAGGGCAATGCAGTATGACCATAGACTATATATATAAAAGATGGATGTAGCCACTGTGACGTCACCCACTGGTTTGTGGATGACTGTTGTGAAGCCTTGAGGCTAGAATTTGACCATCTTGGACTGAGAACACCAGGATACCAGGCGTGGCCATGTGGTCGGGACGTGTCAATCACAAGGTAGCAACACCCTAAAACATAGGCTGCTTTATCATCTGGTTCACTCTAAAAGGGATCATAATTAACAAAATGAGCATCATGCTGTGTTGAAAGAGACTTTAAACTAGTGATTGAGACCATAAACTCATGGGGAAAATGTTTACTGAAGTAACAGATCAAGGGAGAAATAGGGTCATTTCTTAATAGACTTACATACAATCAGTCGCCCCCTGCTGGCCAATGAAAGGAATGCAGGCTTCAGCATTTTCAGAGCTGCATGATGCAGTTTATTAATATGAATTTTTAATAATTCCCTTAACAAATTTACAAGGGAGGAAACAAATAAAGTCAAGGATGGCACGACATAAGATAAACAAGCTTCCCTGTTCTCCACAAAAGTTAATAGTAAGCTTTTAAGGCTTTTTTTTCTGACTCCACTTCCTCTCGTACAGTTCTTAAATCAATACCACAATTATGCAGAGCGAAATACATCAACTTTATCACTTACTAGTTCATGCAAACATTTATGTGAAGCTATTAAATGACTACTCGTGCATATTGCTTCGTCCGGTCCGGGTGGAAACACAGATAAGTCCTAACTCTTAATCAGGGTGTCCTGTGGTTGTGGGACAAACTATAAGCAGTGATGCCACATCATAACGGTCCACAGACTTTCTCCTGGACATCAAACGTCTGCACACACACATCATCTGTGTTTGCTCCATTTGTAAGGTACTCTTGTCTTTGCTGTGGCTTTTTTGTCTGTGCGTGTAATCCGGTCAGGTTATTTGTGTCCTTTATATTGCGGATGTTGGCTGGTTCTGTCTGTGGCATTTTTTTTTTTTGCATTATGCCGGGGATGTAAGCTGTTCAGGTTTGTGTCTGTGCTCAGTGCCAGGTGTTACACATTTCAGGCTCACTGCCTTCCTTCTCACTCGAGGCTCAACAGCAAACCTCCCTCACACACACACACACACACACACACACACACACACACACACACACTCGTATACACACATCCATACTTACAAAAAAAGAAGAAGAAGAAGAAGAAGAAAAAAACAGCACATGCCCCCCTTGAAATTGTCTTCCTTTGTGCTCATTGTGTCTTTTTCTCACCTATCATCTGGGGTTTTTCTTTTCAGACAGCATCTGTTGCCTGCCATTATCGTTCTGTCTCAGCTCCAAGTTTTACTCTTTCTTTCTTTCTTTCTCCGACTCTTCCTCCCTTTCGCTGCTTCTCTCTCTCTCTCTTTCTTTCTCTAATGACCTGTCTGCCTATTCCTATTAGATCTACGTAGTCCGAGTTGATTCTCAGTTTCTACTCCATGCACACACATGCACCTGCCTGTCAGATATGGAGGGGGGGCTACCTCCATGCAGCTCACCAATCTGCTCGGTGCAGCACACACAGCCTGCAAAAAACTCACAACCGTAACAAGTACAAAGCCTTCTCCTACACTTCAGGGAACAAATCTAACAGAACCACCTCAACTTTTGCGTTTTTATTCACTTGCACGATTTCTCAGGAAGCATCTCCCCCTCCGCTACGCCTCGACTTCACCCGCTTGCAAATAAACAAACTCTTACCGTGAGGGTGGGGATGGCTGTGACGAGCGAGTAGATGAGCACCGGGGGGATCTTGCTGGTGTCGTCCGGACCGGGGTAGGGCTTAGAGAAGGTCTTGTCGTAGCAGAAGAAGCCCTGGATGTGCACGGGGAAGGTGTCCGTGTACTCGAAGTAGTAAGCCAGCAGCACCGTCCCAGCCATGATCACCAGCTGGAAATAGAACATTATCCCTCCGTTAGGATGCGAGAGGACGAGAGGTGAAGCAGAGGAGGTAGAGGCGGCGGTGGAGGAGGAGTAGGAGGAGGAGTAGGAGGAGGAGGAGGAGGAGGAGGAGCGGCGGGAGAGGAAGAGGGGAGAGTCGAGTCCCTGTTCCCCTCAGTCACGGGGAGATGCATAGGAAATAAGGAGCCAGAGAGAGTGAGAGGTTCAGTGTTTGGAGGCAAGATAGAAGGTGAGAGAGCGACAGAGAGAGAGAGAGAGACAAGAAACAGAGGAAATGTGAAGATGGAGGTTTTCTTTCTTCAAGAGATGAAAACAGGAGGGGGGAAGTAAAAAAAAAAGAATAAAAGAGGGTTCCGCTGCACATCAAGCAGCAAAAACAAAGAATTGCAGAGAGAATGAGAGAGAGCGATGAAGCGAGAGAGAGAAGAAGAAGAAGATGGGAGGTGGGAGGGAGAGGAAGAGGGAGCAGCCTTTATGCTGCTGGCACTCATGAAATCTACTACAGTTGAGCTGTGGGTGTATTTGTAGATGCTGCATGTGTGTGTGTGTGTGTGAAATGTGTGAGTGTGTGTGGCGGCGAGAGCATGTGCACAGGAGTGTGTTTCTGCAGACACGTGGTTCGAACCATCAGCTGTTGTCTAAAGCGAAAAAAAGTTCTAAAAATACTTCCACCAGCGTCCACGCACGCTTGTGTTTCTGCACGGCGAAGAGATCATCGCTGCATTAAACGATGTTTCTAATGGAGCCTGAAGTGTGCCGACGAGATGGGCTTCTGGAGTGTTTGTTTCAAATACGCACTACAAATCGCAATAAAAAAAAAAAAAAAGCATCCACATTTGCTCGTAATAAAGACAAATTATTCAGTCTTTAATGGATGGATTGGTAGTAATATTCCAAAAACATTTAGCGTCTCTATTTGGTGATTTGGCTTTAATGTGTGCGAGCGGCGCATTAAGCAGAAACACAGCAGTGAAAAGAGCTCTGATTGGTGGTCGCTGGACCACAGCTTCACAGCTCGCTGCCCCACAACGACCAAATACAAAAAATCACTTCTGGCAGGTCTGAGTAAAAAGTGAGCACCAAATGGACTACGTACAGCGTACACGGAGGACGGCGCCGGCTTCACAAATAACACTGATACACAAACCACAGGCTCTTTATTGTTGGCGACTATGTGAAAAGAATGTGGACAAATAGCAAATATTTGCCCCATTTAAACTGTTGCAGAGGGTTTTTTTGGTGTATTTATTAGGTGTTAAGGGTAATAAAGTAGGCTGTAAACACAAAATTAGCCTGTTATCCTCTATAAAGTTGCAAACTTGTTAGCAAACAGTTGCCGATTTATACACCCAGCAAACATCAGCATCTATTCAAACTTGTGTCTTTATGCATCTAATGAATGCAAGTCGACATTCGTTCTTCTCGTAGCTCTGTTTGGGTATCCACCTACCCTTGAAGGAGATCTTTGGCTGCTAATTATCTGTCTTAATGAACTAGTTGGTATCTTTTCTCTGTTGGCCATTTGGTGGCTGTAGTTAATCTTTGTCCACAGGAATTGTACCTCGTCTTCAACCAATCGATTGGTTGTGGAGGGAAAAAAAAACAAGTGCAGCTTATCTCTGGATAAACTCACCATGAGTGCACTCTACCTGCTCGTCTCATTCGCCTAAATGAATAAAAAGCTGTTACATCATTGTAGCCTGGTTATATTATACTGGGAAGATAACAACAGACTCACAGCAGACTGTAGACTTTATATTAAAGATGGACTTTGTTATCGGGATGCCACCCACTGGTTATGAACTGTTATGACGCCTTGAGTTTTGGAATGTGGTCGTCACTAGAGGGGTGTCAGTCTCATAGTCGCCCTATTTTCCTCTAATTGGAACCATAATTTACAAAATTAACACCATACTGTATTAAAAGGGACTTAAAACTAACAATTGAGACCATAAACTCGTCAGGCAAATGTTTACCGAGGTAACAAATCAAGTGCGAATTACACTCATTTATTCATAGACTTTCTATAAAACTGGACTTGTTTCTTCAACGACAGAAGTCGCCCCCTGCTGGCTGTTAGACAGAATGCAGGTTTTCTCTTCACCTTTCTGACACAGGCACTACGTCCATCTTCACCTGCTCATATTCATACGATTTCTGAAAATAAAGCTATTACAAGTCATAGAGGACTTTTAAGGAATGCAAACAAGTTGCTGGCAGTTTTTAGATGATCTAACAGTGTGAGTCGGTCATCTGTTTTAGCCACATTCATGTCAATTAGTTTTGATCTGACTCCGAGTTAATGTAAAAATGCAAAAATAGTGGACTAACCCTGGGAGGCTACTGATGTAACGCTCTCCACTTATGAAGGTAATATTGTTGATTGTCCAGCCAATAAGGATTTGGCTGCATGAGAGCCAGCCTGCAGCCCTATAGGTCATGTACAGCAGGTTTATTTAATCGTTTGTTGCAGAAAATAGCTGCCTGCTGCTGCTTCTGAGATTGGTAGGACTAAACCAAAACGGTAAAACTGCAGGTTGTTTAAAAACAATTAAATAAAAAGTGAATAGATATGACTTAAAATGTTGCACATATAAAAATATTAAAATGCAATCAATGCAAATTTAATGCCGAGAGCTAATAAGATTTATAGCTAATAAGCACAGATTTCCTCCTCCAATCACCTGTCTGGATGTTCTCTTCAACATCATTCACAAACCATTTTTGGGGAAATTTAAGACTTGATCACGACTGGATGAAATGCATCTGCACTCTGACCAGACATGAACTTGCCGTCACGTAGGTCCACATATATATACACAAGGCGTGCACACAAACACACACCGTCACACACATTCTGTCTGTAAGCAGATAAACACCCGCCTATGCAGACGGCAAAGAGCCCCACGTGACACATTCACACACAAGCACAGGGGTTGGTGTATTCATAAACGATGAGCTTTGTTTTTTTATTTTTATTTTTTTCCCCCTATTGTGTCTTTATTTATGTCAAATCATCCTTCATGCGTGCCTCCCTTGAGTGCTTTGCTATCTGTGGTTGTCATGGTGAAGGAATCACTGAGGAACCAGGTTTGTAATATTCTGCATTTTTAGCACTTTCAAAAAAAAAACAAAAAGGTGCTTTTTTTTTTGTTTTTTTACAGACCGGTCTTTGTGTAAGAGCAGTGTTGATTTTTACTGCATGTCTTCTGGTGAGAACTTCTGATAGCAAACGTGTGCACTTTCTGTGCAGGTGTGTGTTGGAGGTGGCGAGCTGCACACACACACACACACATATCCGATGGGAGCTCTTTGGTGGGTTTGCTTTGGGCGAGAGGAGGTGTTGTATACGTGTGACTCATAAAGCGCTGCCTTGTTTTCCTGTTCGATAGCTCCTCCCCTGCATTCAGCCGGCATATTGCGAAGGGGCTCTGACTCACGCTCGTGATTGCTTCGCGGTGAGAACGGCGCTAATTCACAGCGCCGCCTTAAAAATCATCAGCATAATTACAGGATGTGTTAGTCGAGTATGGAAAGCATAGCGAGCATCCTTAATTACCACAGGGGGGGAAAAAAAAGACTGAAGAAAGAGATTTTTTTTTTTCGCGGGTCACGTTTGTTGAACTTTGACGAGCAAATCCAACGTTTTGAGAGTCGTCTTCTAATTTTGGCACCTTGTTTTTGACAGAGGCAGCATGAAATCCAGCACGCCAAGTGTGTTTTTGCAGCTACTTCCACCATTCTGATCCTTTAAACTCATTCCTGATGGTACAGATTGGCCAGATGTTGGCATGTTGCTTTGTTGTCACCTCTGATGTGGGTGACGGCAGCTTATTCACACCCTGGCGACTCCCTACCTCGCCCTCCCTTCAGCACTCTTTCACACTTTTCCTCCCACTCCTTTCTTATTTTTCTTTCTTGACCTCATCCCAAAAAAAAAAAAGCAACCATTAACAGGAAAAAGGACAAGCTTCAGCGTTCCTGCTCTGACCTATTTTAGCGTAGGGGGGATGGAAGGGCGGATCAATAGCATAAAAGAGCGGCGGCTTGTCAAGATGAAAGGTCACATTAAGACAGTTGGAGTTTGGAGCTGTCACTAGGAGACGTGACGCCGCCTGTTACGAGCGTGAAAAGCGAGCGGAGACTGAGGAGTGTCTTCTTCTATTCTCGAGCCTTCCGCGGATGTCATCATCTCCCTCTGAGCCCCTCCGTTCACGTCGCCGCTTTGAAGATGCACTTGACGCCTGTCAGATTACCGAGGCATTAGCGCGTCACACGTCCCGACACTAAACCGACTCGATTATTTCAGGTATCGGAGTGTTTCGAAACCGGTTTCGGGAAATCAGTTTGTCGTTGATTTGGGTGGGTGAGAAACGAAGAGGGTTTATCTGCTCTTCATGTCGGATCCATTGTGAATGACAAGACAGTGGACTGTAATTAAATTCACACATTTAAACCTGAGCTACCTTAACTTGGCTGATTTAATTTAAGAAACAGATTATGTTGTTAAAGAGAGAATCACTATACCTCGATTCCCCTACAGTTACACTTCGACAGTGAGGTACACTTTAAGTAATGCTGTGAATAATAAACGTTCAGATAATATAGTCATCTCTGGAGCGCCCTCACAAAGGTCACTTTGCTCACTGACAGGATAAATATGCATCTGCTGTGGTTTCAGGGTTGAACTTGACTTTATAACATGTTTAATGGAGAACACATCCTTCGTGGATGTTTCTTGCAGACTGCTGTAAAAAATTGAGTTAAGCTGGAAGGATGGTGGTGAATTATAGTGAAGCAAAGTCACATGACACCAGTTTGGAGTTGTGACAATGTGACTTAGTCTAGATAGATAAAGTGTTTATCTTTTCAAAACTTTATTGATATCCTAGTATACAAACATTACTTATCACAGTAAAACTCAAACCACAATTAACTTTTTGCAAACTGTGTATTCAGGCCTAAACAAAATAGGAGATACTGAACAA